ACTGGGGGCCCCCGGGGTCAGGGACCGTGTCTCCTCCATCAGACTGGGGGCTCCCAGGGTCAGGGACCATGTCTCTCCCATCAGACTGGGGGCTCCCAGGGTCAGGGACCATGTTTCTTCCAGCAGACTGGGGGCTCCCCACCAAACTGGGTATCCCCGGAAGTCCAAAGGCCATGTCCCTGAGGCAGGGCCAGGTTTTACCCATTAGAATAGAAGTTTCCAACACTGGCATGTCCAGAGGCCCTGTCTGAGTCAAGACCATGTCTCTCTGGTTGACCCAGAGCTGCCAGGATGAGGAACTTAATCATGGCCTGATACTCCTACACACCCTCCTTTGTCCACTCACTCACCAAACCCTGTTTTTCTGGGTCAACGTTAGGGGGAGAATGCTGTTTGATGGCAGCAGGCCACCCCACAAAGCCTTGGGATTCCTTTTCACTCTGTCTCTCTTCTCACAGTCAACCTCCCTCCCTCGCACGAGGACCCACGTCACCTTCCTGATCCCGATCCTGGCACAGGCTGAGCGTCGGGCGGGCAGGGCCTTTGGGAGGCTTGGGGGTGGGCAGAGGAGCAGGAGGGGTGAGGGGACTGGGGCCCTGGTCCTCCACCTCCCTGACAGCCTCCTCTGCCCCTTGGTCACCTTCTGCCACAGCCCTGGAGTAGTAGAGTGGCCGTGGAAATGTCCAGACAGAAGAGCCCTGCATGCCAGCCTCCCAGCTTCAGCGAGGATGCCAGGCAGCAGTCCCGCTGTCCTCTGTCCTCCTGTCTCCACCCTAGAGTTAGAGCCCACAGGGCCTACTCCTCTCCTGAGCCATTGGAGAGCCACACACGCCATAAACGTCCAGGTTAACGCACCTGTGTGTCAGCCTTTCCTTCCACTCCCCCTATCTCACCTTTTGCGGCGGCTACACTTCCTTTCCCACCCAGGGTTTATTCTCAGTCTGGGCGTATGCACACAGATGCCCAAGTCGCAGTGCTCAAGGACCCATTGCTTGACATCAGGGTCTCAGGTTATGCCTGAAGGTCCTGCTTCCGGGGAACCAAAGGCTGCCCTTCTCTGGGACACGAAGCGGAGCTGGGTTCTGTGGCCCTCAGCTACACTGCACCTCACGCCATCATCACCCGAGCTCTGGACCAGGGCTGCTTGTGCAGAGAGAATGAACCTATTTTCCAAAAACAGTTCCAGCCTTCTAGCCCTCACTCATTGCGCCAAAGATGCCCTTTCATGTGCGCCCTTGTCCAAGGATCCCCCCCCATTCTCTCAGAGATCATGTGCACAGCCCTAAAAAATGCCTCCCTTTTCCTCTAGCCACCCACAAAAAAAATGTACTGCCACTGAGTCAATTCCAACCCATAGTAACCCCCACTGGGCTTCCAAGGCTGTAAATTTTTACGAAAGGAGACTGCCCCATCTTTCTTCTGCAGAATAGTTGGTGGTGGGTTTGAACCACTGACCTTTTGGTTAGCAGCCAAATGCCTTAACCACTACACCACCAGAGCTCCTCACAGCCACAAGAAAGGCCCTGTGAATAAATAAATGAAAATGGGACACGGGTGAGGGTGGAAGGTGGAGAGCTGGGGGGTAGAAGCCAGAGAGAGGGTGCCTTCTAACTCCTCTCCTCAGCAGGATCCAAGCCTCACTAGAGGGAGGGTCTTGGTGTTGGTGAGAAGTGGTGGTGGCAGAATCCAGGCTTGGGGTAAAGGGAGATGATAGGCAAGAAAACGGGAAGGCTTAGTGGAGGGATCTGGAAACTGTCAGGACAGAGCTCTTCTGGGGTGGGCAGTGTTGATGAACCTGGTGTCGGGGACAAGAGCCAAAAATTGCAGAGTTGAGCTGGGATGGTGGGTGATGAATGTCAGACATCCTTGAAGGACCTCCAGAATGAGGATTATGTAACCTGGAGTGCAATCCTAGACCTGCCATGGATTCACTAGAGCCTCTGTTTCCCCATCAGTAAACAGGTGTAGTAGACTTGGGGTAGACTAGAGTTTTTCAAACCATCTTTCTAACCTCAGAACCCTTTCTTTAAATGCAAGTTTACATGGAAGGTAAATATTTTGAAAATGCCATGAAACAAAAGAAGATATCAAGTAAAAATATATACCTCCCTTCCCCCAAACAAATGTCTATATACCTGAAAAAAAAAACGAAAAAAATCTAAATACTTGGATGGCAGAGGCAATCAAAACATAAAATACCACAGAATATGACATGTCAAACACTGTGGGATGTGGCCAAAGCCCTACTCAGAGGGAAAATAATAGCCTTGGATACTTAGGTGCATTTAGAATATGAAAAAAAAAAAGTTTGAAAATAAACAAAACTGGTTCTTTTCACTCAAGAAATTTTTTAAAAAATCCACAAAATAAACCTAAAAGAAAAAGAGGTAAAGAAGTCAGAGAAGTTAAAGTAGAAATGAACTAAATATTAAACAAAACAGTAGAGTTAGTCAATAAAATCTAAAGCTGGTTCTTTGAAAAATGCCAAAGAAATGGACAAACTTTTTCCAAGTGTGATCAAGAAAAAACAGAAACAGAACCAACACAAATAAAAAGACAGAGGAGACTAATATGTAACATAAAAGAGGAACAGGCCTGGCTGAAATAGAGGGTCTGTCAGGGGTTGCTGTTAGGTGCCACCGAATGGATTTCCACTCACCACGATCCCATGACAGAGTAGGACCGCCTCAAAGGGTTTTCTAGGCTGTAACCATTACAGGACCAGATCACCAGGTGTTTTTCCCACAGAGATGCAGGGTGGGTTCGAACCAGCAACCTTTGTTCAGCAGCCAAGCATCACCAGGGCCTCAGTAAATATACGATAAAGGAAGAGCGTGTAGCAGATTCTGCCGGTCACATTCCAGCAGCCATGCCCCTCCTCCTCTTCCTGATGGTCGGTACTGCCTCCCACAGTAGAAGCTGAAAGTGCCAGGTGTCCACTTTCCCAGACTGCCTTGCAGCTAGAGACGGTCATGTGACCCATTCTGGCCAATGAAGGGGAGAGAGAGGCTAAAGTCCATGCACCGACTGTACCCACCTTGCGGGACCCTAACAGAGCTGTCCTGTGGACTTGGAACCTGTGGTCTGTGATGTGGGCTCACCAGGCAACAGTACAGAGTAAGGCAGCCCAAGGTCACACAGTTAGGAAGCAAGGATGGATTTCAACGCACACTGTTAACATCAACATCATCCAGTCTAGCAAAGTGAGACAGCACCCAATCCTTCCCCTGAGGAGCTCTGCTGGCGGTGGTTAAAGCATTGGGCTGCTAACCAAAAGGCCGGCAGTATCAAGTGCCAGCTGCCCGGCTGCTGAAAGATGGGCAGGCTGCTTCTGTAACGATTTACAGCCTTGGAAACCCTAGGAAGCAGTTCTACTCTGTCTTATAGGGTGCTATGAGTTGGACTCGACGTGATGGCGGTGGGTTGGGCTTGTGTCCTCTTCCCTGGGAATCTTTGGGTTGCACAAATAGTTAGCCCTGGGCTACTCACTTAAAGGTTGGCGGTTCAAGTCGGCTCAGAGGCATTTTGAAAGAAACACCTCGTGATCTATTTCCCAAAAAAATCAGTTGTTGAAAAGTCTATGCAGCACAGTTCTACACTCACCCACACAGGGTCACCATGAGTCAGGATCATCGCGAGGACAACTGGTTTGTTTTTTGGTTTGGTGTTTATCCTTCTCCCACTCAAGTTCACATGTGAAGGTCAGTGTCATATACAGGACTAGAGTCTAAGTGTATCTTAAAATTTCCCTTCAGTGGCTAGTCAGAAAGAGTGAACAGAAAACACAAAC